GTTTTATACCTATATGGTATATTCATAACAGAATTATATATTCGTGCCTTTTTACAAACAGTCGATACTTCAGTTAAATTATTAATTGATTTCCTTCACTTTTATGGTGAAGACAGCACTGAATAATACACATGGATTAATATCAGGACTAGATCAATGGCAGATCTTTGACCAGCTACTAGTATTACTGACACAGTCAAGGAACAATGATGGTACAACAATGAGTTTAATTAATTACCTTTCTAATTTGTCTAATTTTATCTGATATTAAACCATTCGTTAAAAAAAAAAAAAAAAGATTCATTATCTAATATGATGTAAGAGATTCAGAGAAGAGCTGCATCACTGTTCGATCTATGCTTCGTTTTAAACATCATTGCTTGTACCAATTCATTGATTTTTCTATTAACTATCTCGCAGCAATTACCGTAATAACATATTAAGCGATACGATACTTCGACTCGTTATCGATTACAAAATTAAATACATTTCCTCGACCGAAAACGGACACGATAATCAATCGTATAATTACAAATATTTAAGCGCACACTTCAAGAACATATTTGTTAACGTCTACGTTCTTCGTCATCGAGTTGTGTCACCCTCGTCGAAGAAACTACTATACTTTTATTATCATGTATGACAATACTGTTCGTTGACGAAGTTCGTAGAATAACTATTTGATAAATTAATATTTGCACATAGTCTAAACATTTCTTATCCATGAACATTTTGCAGCGATACTTATTTATGTACACTTTGACGTATTTACAAATACCGCTGATTACGTCGACATGGAACTATAGCAATTAAGTGTCTTTTGTACCAACGTTTATCGAAGAATACTTATTCGTATTCTCGATTCTTCTCGATAGACAACATACAAAATGTGTGTTTGTGTTTCTTTGTCATTTTTTTTTTTTTTTTCGTATTTTCTCCTCTCTGTTTTTTTTTTTTTTTTTTTTTTTTTAATATCTATATTTCGCAATCGACTGCATTTTACCTTTTCTTTCTGTTCTTACAAATCGATATGAATAGTTGAAAATAACATAGCACCGAAGGAACTTGGGCGCAACATTACGCGTGTATTGTTATCGTATCTAATAACTCTTGGCAATGATTAAAGTTACTAATAACAGAGTACTTACAAGTTAGTTTACCTCTAACGATCAGTGTTATGATTAATATCGATTTTCCCTCGGTAACAACGAAGAAGATTCTTGATCTGTCCTCTCTTATTTTTTTTTTCTTCCCATTTTACACTTTATGAACTACGATTAGAACAATGATATTAATTTCAACTAGATAAAACATGATTGTACATATACACAGTTCGCGGATACATTTCTGAGACTCGATCGAAGATCGACAAGATTCGCGAAACCGATTGAAACGAAATGGTAAAAAGAAACATTAAAAAAAAAAAAAAAAAA